ATATACATATATATATGTACACATATATAAAATATATAATATGGCCCATAGAGGCTAATTTGTGTCCTCAAATGTCCTTCAGTGTGGGTCCATCCACTGGAGCCCAGTTAACCTACCAAGAGTCACACCCTTAAAAGAGGCTATTTATTTATATTTATTTATTTATTTATTTATTTGTTTACTTATTTATTTATTATTTATTTTGAGACAAGTTCTCATTGCATAGACTTGGCTGGCCTGGTACTCAACAGGCAGTTGTGGGTGCTGGGAACTGAACTCAGGTCCTCTGTAAAAGGAGCAAGTGCTCTTAACCACTGAACCATCTCTCCAGTCCCTAAGTCTGGAATTTTTAGATTTCATGGTCCTTAAGAACTCATCAAATTCTTCCCTTTCACATATAAACATAAAGACTGGAAGGAAGGAAGGAAGGAAGGAAGGAAGGAAGGAAGGAAGGAAATGAAGGTAGGAAAAGAAGTTCTTTGCTTCCTTATTTAGCATCTTCCTGAGAAACTATAAAAGTCCCTTTTTGTGTAGTTTGCTTGTTTGTGTTTTACATAGACCTCTTAGCTCCTCCACAGAGGACTTGGGGGTCAGTGGCTCTGAGAGTCATGATGCTGCCAAAATATCATGTAAACCTCACTGCCCTGCCCTATGAAGCTGGGTCCAAAAGCAAGCTTTGTTCATGCACCATTACCAATAACGGAAGAGTTAGTGGTGGGAAAGTAGCCCCCAGCAAGAGCCATCCCCAGTGCAGCAACCTGATTGTTCTCGAACACAGGGATGGAGCCCCACCCCACCCCCTTTCTTTCCTGGTTGTTTCAAAAACCACATTTCCATGTGACCATAGCTTTAGAGACACAAGAAGAAGACAGCTAAACTACCTTGGTGTTTTCAAGCACGTATTTACCTTAGCCAACCCAAACTAACTGACAGGCTGATCCCCACCACGACCACCACCCAAACACCCTGGCTACTCTACTGTATGGCTGCATTCTTTTGGACAATGAGCTCAGTCTCAGGTGGATGCAATAATAGAATTTACCAGATGGTTACTTTGAGATTAAATAGTAAGTGGTCCGCCATTATTAGCGGTTCATTTTGACATTAATTTGTATCCTCCTTGCATTTTGGAAGACCCAGGTCCAGCCCCACCTGGAAGGCAAGAGCAAACCCCCAAGGTCTATGGCAACATGGAGATAATATCTCTCTAAAATAACCAGGCTAGGAAACAATCAATTGTTTTATAGTGCAGGTTTGCCCCCAGTCTCCGTTTCATTTTCAAAGTGCTCTGACATTCTCAGTTGAGGGAGAAACTCAAAGGCACCTTACAAATATTGCAGAAAACAAGAAGTAATTGATATATAAGAACTGTCACTCCTGGGAAATCAAGCGTTGCTATGACCATAGATAACTTTTTTTTTCCTCCCTTAAGTATTGAGTTCACAATGATCAAAAAATACCCATGATATAAGAGCCATATTTATTAGCTCTATAAAAAAATTAAAAAATAAGTCACATTATCCTTTAAAAATAATTCCATCAAAATGTAAGCCAATTCAAAACAAAAACATACTATATAATAAACCAGCTTTGAAAAGAATATATAAAAAATACCTTTCTTTCCTGCTGAGTTGACTGTACTTCTGTCAGTCAATCTATCATGCAATTCCAAATTAATCTTCTGAAATCACTGCTCTGTTCATGTTATATCCCTGCCCATAAAACACTCCATGGCTCCCTATTGCCAACTGAATTGAATCCAAACTCCCCTTGCTGGTTGTACTGGCCCTGTACAATCTAGCTCTCACTAACTGTCCAATTTGATGAAGAGAGGTCACAAATGTGCTCGCACCACAGCCCAGGCACATGTCCATCTTTATCCTGTTGTAATGAATCTAACCCTCCTGGGAACCCCTCTTCTGTGTCTCCGTCTCCTCCCATTCACAAACTCTCATTAAAGAGGTTGGTCTCTAGCTAGTAGCTCTGATTTGACAAAGTATCATATGGGGAGTGAGGAGATGGAGTGGGGTTTTGACTTGGTGGGAGAATGTGTCCAACCTGTGTGTGTCTCAGCCACAGGCTGTGTTCTTGGACCCTCAGAGCTGTGACAATTTCTTTATGACCCACAGAGACTCTAGGCTACAGCACACAACCCATCACCCAGTCCACCCAGCCCTGACCTTTAGTCTCCAGCACCAAGTTCCCCAGCTCTGCAGCATCTTGTTTGAACTAGGTCTCTGCTGGGTGCCAGTGTGACCCCCCCCTCCAATTTCATGCCACCACACTCCTTATCTCCTTAGCCAACCTCAGGACGATCCATCACGCTGCTCCCCTCCACCAATAAGTATTGTTTGTGTGGTGGGCGTGGCTATGGGGAGCATGCTATGGCAGTGCTATCTGGAGGTTTTTTTTTTAATTAAAAATGTGTGTGTGTGCGTGTGTGTGTGCACGTGTGTGTGTACATGTGCAGGCAGAATCCAGAAGTTGACGTTGGGCATCTTCCTCAGTCTCTGTAGCTTACTCCTTCATGTCTTTCTTTATTTATTTATGAAGCTCACTGGTTTAGCTGGACTGGCCAGAAAGGCCCCCAAGCCCTGGGATTACCAACATGTTTCATCATGCCTGACTTTTTATTGGGTCCTGGCAATTGAACTTGGTCCTCACGCTTGCACAGTTATCTCCCTAGGCCAGCAACCCCTTTTTAGATCAAATACCTTGTTTCTTAGATTTCTTATAACACGGGCGACAGTGCCCTGGTTTTGTAGTTTTGTTTTTATCTTTATCTCTATTATGAACCTTATTGTTTCTTTTGAAAGCAATGTCTGGTTTCTTCAGTGTCCCCAACAATAGCATAGTAGCTTGTATAGTACGCACTCAATGAACACTTCTGCAAACAGATTGAAATGGAAATACCATCCTTTTACCTTCTTGATTATGCTTTTTAACGCAGAGACAAGCAATGGATAACATCACCTCCAAACATGAAATACAAATGTGCCTTTTTATCTTCTTAAAAGTCATCGTACTCTTTGGCTGAAGGAATTACCTTCCCTCTAGAGAAAGCTCATTAGTAGCCAGGTGGGGTGGCACATGTCTGCAATCCTAGTACAAGGGAAATCAAGGTGGGAGTATCTCAATTTTCTCAAGCTCAAGACCAGTCTGGGATATGTATCAAGTTCCAGGCCAGATTCAGCTACATAGTAAGAACCTGTCTAGGAAAGATGAAAGAAAGCCAGAGAGAGAGAAAGAACGAGATGAGGGAGGGAGGGAGGGAGGGAAGGAGGGAAGGAGGGAGGGAAGGAGGGAGGGAAGGAGGGAAGGAGGGAGGGAGGGCGGGAAGGAGGGAAGGAGGGATGGAGGGAAGGAGGGAAGGGGAAAGAAATGGAAAAAACAGAGGAGAATGGAAAATGGAAGGGAAGGAAAGGAAGGTTAGGAATAAAGTTCATCACCAACTTTTTCTATCTTTGGCAATCAGTCCCCCTAAACATGGACAACAATGAAGAAATAGAATGTAGTCATATAACTAAGAACCTCAGAGTTAGCATAAACACGAATCTTAAGCGAATAGTGCCACATTAATGGCAATCAGAAACAAAAGACATTAAGAGACCAGCACCGCCCTTGTTAGGACAGTTTTCCTGCTGTGGCCCTGGTCCAGGGTCACAACTTATCCAAGAGCCCATCAAAGCAATGTCCTCTACACATCCACACCCCCAACATGTTACCTTTAATCAGAGTCTGAAACTCTTTGTGTTTAACTGTCCCCCTCTGAAGGTCAATCTTCAAGGTCATGAGGAGTGCAAAGAGAAATTTGTGGTTTTCATACAGGCCTCTCACTGAGTACGTAAAAACCTTGTATGTCAGATATTCGATGATATTTGCAATTCTCTTTTGAGGTAGTGGAGACTTTTCAGATCTGAAATTCATTAAAAAAAAATCAAACAGGTAAAAAAGCAATTTCTTAAGGACTAAAAATAACAACAAAAATTGTGTGTGTGTGTATGCATGTATGCATGTATGTGGAGGCCAGAGGTTGATATCAGATATCTTCCCCAACTAATCTTCACTTTATATCTTTTAGCATTTATTTTTATTTTAAATCTATTTATTTTTATTTTATGTGTGTAAATGTTTTCCTGCATGCAAGCACACTCATGTCATGCAATGCCCACGGAGGCCAGAAGAGGGCATCAGATCCCCTGGAACTGGAGTTATTAGCTGCCATGTGGGTATTGGGAACTGAACTTGGGTCCTCTGCAAGAGCCGCCAGTGCTCTTAACTGCTGAGTCATCTCTCCAGTCCCTTATTTTTATTTTAATTATGTGTATGTGTGGGGAGGGGGCATGAATGTAGTTGCCCCTGGAGGCCGGAAGAGGGCCTCAGATCCCCTGGAACTGGAGTTATGGATGGTTATTAGCTTCCATGTCAGTGCTGGGAACTGAACCCAGGACCTCTGCAAGAGCAGCCAGTGCTCTGTAACTGCTGAGCCATCTCTCCAGTCCCCCACCTTATTTTTTTTAGACAGGGTCTCTCACTGCACCTGGAGCTCACTGATTGGCTGGCCAGAGAGCTTCCAGGGACCCTTCTGTCTCCACCCCCCAGCACAGGTTACATATTGCAGGCTGCCACACTGGCTTTTTACATGGATGCTGGTGATCTGAACTCAGATCCTTAAGGTTACACAGCAGCTACTTTACCAACTGAGCTGTTTCCTAAGCTTCCCACAAAACACTTGAAAGTGCCACTTTGGAGATGATGGAGCGAAAGGTGTGGAGGACTCACCTGGCCATGGACTGGTCGAATAACTTCAAGAACTGGGACAGTGAGGTTTGATACATAACGTTCACCATGCTCATTTCTGTGATGAGGAAGTAGAGGATGCTGCCGCGGGTGGCGGCTGGCCGGAACTCCTCCTGAGCCATGTTGATCTTGATCTCTGTTTCTGCAGCGACATGGAGCTTTTCACTGACTTCTGCTGCTGTCTGCTTGGTGATTCGAAGGACACCAATGAGAGACTCGTCGTCCACCAAGGAACCTGAAAGTCAAAAACATGAAAAATAGCAGACACTCCGTAGAATGACTCCAGAGCAAGGGGCATCCTTTCTGAACTAATACCACCAGCTTCTGAGCTGACTCCCCCAGCGTCTGCAGAACAGAATCTCATCACACTCAGGGGTTCCTGATCTAACTACAACCCAGCACCTGGATCTTTTTCAACATTCCAGTTGAGAGCCCATCATTCCCCTCTACTTGAAAATCTACACCAAAAGGCAAAAACTGTTTTGGATAGGCTCCCCCGCCCCCATTAAAGGTATGCACCACCACACCTGGCTTCCACCTTGTTTTTTTGAGACAGGGTCTCTCACTTGATCTAGAACTCGCAAAGTAGGCTAAGGTGGTTGGTCAGTGAGCCCCAGGGACCTGCTTGTCTCTGCTTCCCCAGTGCCTAGCTCACACAAGCATGCACCACCACCGTTGGCTTTCTTAAAAAATGAGTATGAGTGTTTCCTGCCTGTACGTACTTGGACCATGTGCAAGCACTGCCCACAGAGCATGTGGGTGCTGGGAACTGAACTCCTGTCCTCTGCAAGAGCAGCCAGTGTGCTTAACCACGGAGCCATCTCTCCATCCCGCTGCCTTTTCTGATGAGGATTCTGGGGGACATAACTCAGGTCCTCTCTGTCTTTGGTGGTATCAACTGCTGCCTGTGTGATGCACTTTTACCTCCATTATCACCTAGGTGACTCTCACCAAAGTGTCCCCAGCTCCTCCATCCCACTTATCTAGGGTGTGAGCAGATGGAAACACAGTTCCCAGACTGGCAAGGTGACAGTGGCTGTTCTCTCACTGGTTGACTGGAAGAGTTCCCGCTACAGAGAACCCTGGTCACTCTACATCCCTAACAAGAATAAACTGTGGTAGGGTGGAAGTGTCACCCAAGAAAAACACCATAATTTTTTTCAGTTTTCCCTTCAAGTTATTGTTTTTAAGAGAAATATATGCTTACAACAACAAATTCCATTTTAAGATGTAAAACACCATGGTGATGCACTGAGCTCACAGGCACTGTATCTACAGAGGCAGTGCTCTAGAAGCAGATGTGGTAGTTTGAATGAGAGATGGCTCCCATAGGCTTGTGTACTTGAGCACCTGGTCCCCAGTGGATGACGCTGTTTGGGGAGGTTGTGGAACTTTTAGGAGGTGGAGCCTCGTTGGACAAAGGATATCACTTGGGGGTGGGCTTTGAGGGTTTTATAGCTTTCCCTCACTTCCTGTTCTCTCTCCACTTCCCCTGGGGATGAAAATGTGATCAGCCAGCTTCCTATTCCTGCTGTCACGGGTGCCCTCCCCACCATGATGGACTCTGGCCCTCTGGAACCGTAAGCCAAAATGTAGTCTTCCTTAAGCTGCTTTTGTCAAAATGTTTTATCACTGTAATAGAACAGTAACTCTGGAACTCCTGCCTCTGTGTCCCCAGTGCTGGGACTGAAGACCACCATGCCCAGCCTAATTTAGCTCCCTTTTTAAAGTTTTGAGACAGTGTCTCACTACATAGCCCAATCTGGCCTCAAATTCTCAATCTCGTAGCCTCAACATTCCAAGTAGCTGGGATTAGAGGTTATGTGCCGCTACGGCTGGCCTTGATTGGGATTGTTTTAAAAGACTAAGTTTTTGTTTTCTTTTAATCCAAGGATTAACGTGGCAGTGGGAAGAAGTCATAAGTAAAATGCTAATGGATCATGGCATTTAATTAGGTAGCTGTGATTTATTGCCTACAAAGAGAACTGATATGATATCTGTTGATTTTATTCTCTTTGAATAAAATTTTGCTTTTTTGTTTGGTTGTTTGTTTTGAGACAAGGTCTTGTGGGGAGCCCTAATTGGCCTGGTGGTTTCTGTATAGCCCAGGCTGGCCTCAAACTCACAGCCATTCTTCTGCCTCAGTTTCCCAAGTGCTACAATTACAAATATGCACCACCACATCCAGTCAGAATGTACTACAGAGTACCTGCTCAAATTGGGGTGTGGCATAATGATTCTGGCTGCCCTTCCCTTGGCTTTTTTGTTGTTGTTTATTTTGTTTTTGGTTTTTGAGACAGGGTCTCCCTTTAGCCCCAGCTGGCCTGGAACTCACTTATGTAGACCAGGCTGGCCTCCATCTCACAGAGATCCACATGCCTCTACTGGGATGAAAGGTGAGCACCACCACACCTGGCTGCTTCCCTTCACTTTTAAGTGGGAGTCATTGGAGGTGAGTTGGGCTCTTGGGTAGCCACGTTCTTCTAACAGAAATTACTTGTTTTGTACGTGACCCATCATAGCGGCTGCGTTTCAGTGGCAAATAAGAGTTGATCAATGGAAACAGCCCGAGCATGTGAGTGCCCTCTGAGCAAGCAAATGAGTCCATCACAAGTTCCCTGGCTCTCTTGGGAGGCCCTTGTTTTTCTCAGGAGAGAGTGATTATATCAAGGAGACAATGTTATTCCCATTCACTCAGTGTCTAGCTGCTAATTCAGAGAGCGCAATCTCTGCGGTGTTTCTTTAATGACTAGATGGAAACTGCCCTGCTTGCTTTTGCATTGTTAACTTGACTATTTCCTAGCACCTGTAGTCAGGGCGGCACTGAAAGCAGTGTGCGTGAAACTCTTCCTCCTTTAGTTCCCAATGACATGATACCTTTTGTAGCACTTAATTTATACAGCAGGTTATCCTCAAGTTCTTTCATCTTCCGCTTATTAAAAGTAACATCCTCCAAAAGTTTAACCCTCTCTGACTCCAACTCCTGTTATTAAGAAATAAGCAAACAAAATCACATCAGGATCATAATCAGCAGTTGCTATAGAAAACCAGACTCGGTGGTGGTTATTATCAAGGTTCAAGGGTTTAAACCAAACTTCCTTTTGAATGATGGAAGAAATGACTATCATTAGTCAAACCATTTTGTATTTTTGTTCCTCTGAGTAATTGATAAAATGGGGGCTGGAGAGATAGCTCAGCAGTTAAGAGCACTGGCTGCTCTTGCAGAAGACCCGAGTTTACATTCCAGAACCCACATGGCAGCCAACCACCATCCATAATTCCAGTTCTAGGGAATCTGATGCCTCTTCTGGCCTCTGCAGGCATTGCATGCATGTGGTACATTACACACATGCAGGCATACACATAAAATAAAAATTAAAGTTAAAAAAATAATACCTACTGAGTGGGTACTGTTATTGTTATGGCTAACTTTCAGGCTGATGACATTGTTCTTTTATTTTTATTTTTAATATTTTTTATGTATATGAGTGTACTGCCTGCATGTGTGTAAGTGCATTTGTGTTGTATAATGCCTGTGCAGGTCAGAAGAAGGCATCAGATCCCCTGGAACTGGAGTTACAGATGGTTGTTTAGTGGATGCTGGGAATGGAACCTGGGTCCTCAGCAAGAGCAGTAAGTGCTCGTAACTGCTGAGCCATCTCTCCAAACCTGATATCACTCTTCTAAATACCTTAGTGTATCTAATGAAAACCAAGACATTGTTTTGCATCACCATAGCCCAGTATCCAAGTCCAGGAAGTTTAACATGGACAGAACATTCTTACAGAGTCTAAATGAAAATCATCTTAATAATATTCGTCTTTATCCCATTTTCGTGTGTGTGTGTGTGTGTGTAGGCTGGAAGTTGATGTCAGGAATCATCCTCAATCACTCTTCCACCTTACTCACTAAGGCAGAGTCTCTCAATTAAACCCAGAGCTCCCTGATATGGCTAGTCTTGCTACCCAGCTTGCTCTGGGGACTCCCGTGTCTGCCTTCCAAGGCTTCAATTATAAGTGGGTTGCCACAGCCACCTGACATTTTTACATGGGATCTGGGGATCCAAACTCAGGTCCTCATGCTTGTGTGGCAAGTACTTTCACAGCTGAGTCATGTCCCTAGCCCCAAGTCCAGGAAGCTTAACACTAACAAAATATCCTTACCTGGTCTAAATGAAAATCATCTTAATAATATTTAGCTTTAGTTTTGTTTTTTAAACAGAGTCTCATGTAGCGCAGGCTGGTCTTGAACTCACTATGCAACTAAGGATGACCTTGAACTTCTGATCCTCCTGCCACCAGCTCCCAAGTGCTGGGATTACAGTTATACACTGGCACACCCAATTTATGTGGTGCCAGGAATAGAATCCAGGTTTTTGTGCATGCTAAGCAAGCACTCTACCAACATCCCCTGCCCTCAGTAACATTATTTTTTTTTCTCATTAATATGCAGAATCACATTGTACACTGAGAAAATTATATTACAAAGTAAATTAACACTACATATTTGAGAACAATTTTTATAAAACTACTTCAGAAAACCCATCACTTTTAGAAGTCTTCTGAAAGCACTTACATGATGAAAAGCCACAGTTCAGCACTGAGCCAAACATCTGCCATGGCTTATGTCACAGTGTGCCTATAGATTATTTTCATCCAGAATTTGTGCAGCTCACAGGCAGGATCTTGTCCTGTGTACTTTGGTATTCCTGAGAGCACTTATCATGAAGTCTTGTAGAAAAGAGACTCACCCAATTTCAATTGTTCAACTGAAATGTGCTAAATTTAGTTCACATGCTTTATCTGATATCTGGGGTGTGAGCAGCATCCCAATGTAACACACAGCTAGTTACCTGCAGAGATGGGTCTGATATCCTGTCCTCCAACTCCTAGACTAATGTTGCTGCCTTCCTACTTTCCAGGCTGTGAGATTCACTGGCGCTGTATTTGCAGGAGACTAGATAAGGAACCACTGTCATTAAAGTGATCACCACCCACCGGGGCTGGAGAGATTGAGACAGCTCAGTTGGTAAAGTCCTTACTTCATGAGCATGAGGACTTGATCCCCAGCACCCATGTAAGCAGCTGGCCATGGCAGAGTGCACCTATAACCACAGTGATGGGGAAGTGGAAACAGGAGGATCCCTAGGGCTTTCTGATGAGTCAGCCTAGCCTAATCAGTGAGCTCCGTGTTCAGAGAGAGGCCCTGCTTCAAAAAATAACATGGAGACTGACTGAGGAAGATACCTGACATTGACATGCATGTGTGTGCATGGCCTGGCATTGTGGCAGGATGAGACTTTGCAAAGTTTTACAGCATGGCCCATAAAGCTTCTAGGACACCTAGCAGACTATGCACGTGTTGTCACGGGGTGAGACTATTATTCTCACTGGCCTCCATCTGTTTGTTCATCTGTAAAATGGGGGTGTCACGGCAGGACTGACAGGAGAGGAAGCTCAGCTTATGAAGTGTGCATACTGTGCTCTCCACCGACGCTGGCACAGGCACCCTACTGCATGTCTTGAAGGGGAAGCTAAGTTAAGGAGAGTGAGTGTGGGGCACTCTGAGGACCTTCGGGCAGTGCCGCATGGGAGAGCCAGACTTGTGGGAAATCACCTCAGAACAGACCAACAAACTCGTTTGACCACAGGGGACTTGCTTTCAACAACTGACATCATGTGAACCTGAGGGGTGATGCAGGCAGTGAACTGGAGAGCCAGGGCTTTTGATAGTCTGCTGAGTGATCTCCCTAGCCCCGAGTCCAGGAAGTTTAACACTAACAGAATATTCTCACGGAGTGCTCTAGTTTGTTTCTCCAATGCTGTGACAAAACACTCTGACCAATACCAACTTGGGAAGAAAGGTTTTTTTTTTGTTTGTTTGTTTGTTTGTTTGTTTTAAGTTTACATTTCCTGGGTCTTAATTCCTCACTGAGGGAGCCCAAGATAGGAACCTGGAGGCAGGAACCTGGAGGCAGGAGCTGGAGCACAGGCCATGGAGGAACGCTGCTTACTGACTTGCTTCCCCCACCCCCACCTCCCCGCTCAACGTGCTTTTTTATGCAGCACAGGCCCACCTGCCCAGGGGTGGCACCACCCACAGTGGTCTGGGCCCTCCCACATCACACAACAAGAAGACGCCCCTCAGACATGGCCACCGGTCAGTCCAATGGAGGCAATTCCCAATTGAGGCTCCCTCTACCCAGGTGTGTCAAGGTGATAACTAAAGCTATCCAGCACACAAAGTCTAAATGAAGATCATCTTAATAATGTTTGCCCTTTGGCAGGTGGGATTTCATCGATGTTTTAACAAGGACAGTTAGTACCATGTCCCGTCCCTTCCAGAGCATCCGTCTTCCAGTGAGTCTCTCTGTAAATCCCTTTCCTCCCTGCTGTCTGCTTCCCGGTCATTCTCCTTCTCGCCCTCCCATTTTGTGCTCCTCTGCGCTTGTTGTTTCTAACCTCGCCTTTTCCTTGAATATGAAAATGAATTATAGTGAAGTAAATGTAAACATTCGCACTTTATGCAAATGTATTTAATATATGCAAATATATGTTGTGCATCAAATAGAAACTTTTCTGTGCATTTTCTTAAAAATTACTTTAGCCTCCTATCTGCCTCTGAAAATATTCCAGCCCAAAGGTGTTCTTTGTTTCATCAATACCCACAGTTATACCTAATTAATTTCCCTACTCAAATGCAGGTTTCATTTGAAGTACAGTTCCTGGTATCATTACATTATTATAGTGTAATATCTGAAATCTCGACGGTTGGTAATAGCTATTCGGAGGAATTGATTTTTTTTTTCTAGGATCATTGTTTTATTATTTTTCAGGTGCCCCAAGACAATACGTAAGATTATAGATTTGTATATCCAGATGCCCAAAGGTTTAAAGACAGAAGTATAAAGAATGACATGTGTGTGCGTGTATGTATGTACATGTGCATGAGTGCACTCTGTGCACGTATATATGTATGTGTGCATGCATGTATATATGTGTGCATATGTGTGTGAATGTATATATGTGTGCATATGTGTTTATGCACGTGTGTCTACATGCGTGTGTCTAGGTGTGCACATGTCTGTGTATGTCTACATGTATGTGTGTAAGTATGCACATGTGTATGTATGTGTGCATGTGTGTGTGTCTGGGGATAAAAGAGAACTGAATTTCATAATTTCCTGATGGAAACTGACACTGAGAAAGATATGTTCTTATGACTGGTTATTTTTTCCCCTATATTTATTATAGCAACATCCTAATCTATTTTATTTTACCTATTTATTTATTTATTTTGTGGGGGGAGATGGATGCCTCAGTGAAAATGTATAGGTCAGAGAACAATTTGTGGGAATCAGTTCTCTCCTTCAACTATCTGGGTCCTGGGGATTGAACTCTGGCCATCAGGCTTGACAGCAGACACCGTTACCTGCTAAGCCATGTCACCAACCTACTTAATCAATGCTCAACATTTAATTTAAGTTAGAGTCTTTACCTTGAAGAGTGATTACCTGTTTCTCCGTTAGGATTACTCTCCTGAGTAACTGATTCTCCAACCCCTTCATGGTCACAGTGAAATCAATGACCGAGGTCTTCGCATTGATCTCAGGGGTGAAAGCAGGGTTTGGTAACTTGGTGGTGATGTAGAGTTTAAATGTATTCATGATGTCACATTCCTTATCACCGACTTTCACCTGTACAAGTTCAAATATAAAATTAAAACCAGCTTAAAGGCCAGGAATTGGAGGTACAGCTTGAAATGAATTCATCAAAGGTCAAGGCTGTGATACTTGAATGAATTTGGAAGGAAAGTTGCAAAATTTTAATCATGGACCTTAAATAATAAAGGCTGTTTAATTTAGAGTAATTCAGATTTGTGTTCCTGCTGAAGATGATTTTAACCACAATACAAAGGAAGTCAGATGAAAACCTGATCTAAAACAAATGGCTAATAACAGAAAACTTGGACACGTCTAAGATAGGACTTAAAAATCTAGTATTTATTACTCTCATCACTTGTAGATGAGTAAATAATATCCTGCTGAGGAACTCTGCTGTGCTTATAGGAATTACTACTTCTTTTTGTGTCCCACCATCATATCTCAGACATATTTGACAACAGAGTCAATATAATTTTCAAAGAAAAAAAATTTTTCCCCAAGAAAAATAGCATTGATTTTAAACACTGCTATTTGCAGTGCATTGGAAAACAGCTAGTTTTTTACTTTCTAAAAAGCAAGTAGAAACTATAGAATTTTTAAATACTTAAATTTCTAATTAATCTTGATCCTGCATGGATGGCACCATCAGGAACCATGCCTTCACACCACAGACAGGAACCTAGGGTTCTTTAAAAGACCTCAGATGGAGATTCTATAGCCTTCTTTGTCATGTTAAACGAGGCACAGACAATAAACTGGACTCAGAAAGACAAATATTTTCATTTGTAATATGAACAAGTTCCAGATATCTAAGAGGTAGAGGGACGCCAAAGGAGCTAGTGGTTCATTTAAGCATGACCAACATTGTACATCGTATAGGAACAGCAAAATATCACACAATCTCTATTTGTCAATAAAATGTTTTAAAATGTGATTCCAAAGCATGAATCACAGTAACCAGAGAAATCACTAAGATTTTGCTCTTAGACCCCTTTACTGGCAAAGAAAAATTGCAATTTGTAATCTCATGGGAGAACAATGGGAATTATTTAGAACATTGACTCAGTTTTATTCTTGCTTCTCCACAAACTGTTCCAGGCTTAAATGTATACTGGATGTTCCACAAACCATTGTTGAATGAATGAAAAATGGCAAATAAAGGATTCATGTTGTGAAGAAAAGTTTTTCTAAGTAAATCTGTGTTTAAGGAGAAAATGTGCATCCTTACTTACTCAGTGATATTCAGGAAATTAACTAACTGGAAGTGAAATAACCGAATCCAAAACGCAGACATTCATCAAGGACTAAAACCCCCTAAATCCTTAAAGTGAAGAATGAAACCGATTTTAAAAGAGATGCTTCTATTGAAAACAATTTGTGTTATCATCAGCAGTTGGGAACAGAGTTCCATGGCTTTCCAGTGAAGCCATAAGTTTAGATTGAAAGTTAATAGAGAAATGAACAAATCAATGTCTACAGACTTTATTAAAATGCTACTTCCTCTAAAGAGGAGAGCCAGGTTTTCTTGTATTTGTGTACATATTTGACTTGCAAAACCAGTTTTCTTAGAGTAGTTAAATACATAAAACTGGTTTCTGTAGAACACTAATATATTGTTATTAAGATAAATATGCTTTCTTCATATATTACTTTGTTTCAAACAACAGGATTTACTCTTACCAAGATGTTGTTCTTGTGCATTTTATGTCATAAAAACAAAAGGAATTGAAACATCACAGGGCATCTATTAATATGTACAATTTTTGTTTTATGTATCTGTTAAAAAGCAATGTGAATTTTCAAGGACTCTTTGAATGGGGTTGAAGAGATGGCTGAGTGGTTAAGAGCACTTGCTGCTCTTCCAAAGGACCACCATTTAGTTCCCAGCACCTACATCAGGTGACTCACAACCCCCTGTAACTCCAGCTCCAGGGGATTCAATGCCTTCTTCTGGCCTCTGTGGGCACCTGTACTTATATGCGCACGCACACACAGAAATAACAAAAATAGAATAATGCAAAAGAACTCTTTTAGCAGTTTTATAATATACAACATACTGTAGCCCATATATATGTGCCATTATTGTTTTTCAATTAAGAATGACATCAATTTAAAGAAAAGTAAATAACAGCTACCACTTTGGGAGGGAACAGGAAATGAGATAAGCTTTTGATGCCTAGAAACAATGACTCCGAGGACACAATGAATGTCAGTTTGGAAATGCTTTTTGCTGCAAACAAAACATCACCACCTGAAAGAAATCACTCCCCTGCTATGCTCAGAAGGGCAAGTAGATGTCACCATTGTTCTTTCCTTCTTTCTCTTTAAAAAAAAAAAAAAAAAAAAAAAAAAAAAAAAAAAAAACCTGCTCACCTTGAAAGTGGTGCCTGATTTAATGAAATTCTTTTCCAGTACATGATCCAGAGCTGGATCCAGCTCCTCCCGAATGTCCTCGATGAGAAGGGGGCGACCCAGGGACAGGCTGTCCTCCAAGTGCATTCGGAAATACTTATGGTTCAGAGATGTCACCTAAAAATAAAAAACTCCTTAGTCTAAAAGTGTTTCAAACATTATTCTCATTCCTAAGTGAAAAAACATTTTTTTTTTTTGACAAGTGACTGGGGGATTTTAAGAGTAATGTGGGAAGCCTTACTCATAAAAATAAAAGCAACAGCAAAGATTCATTTTCAAAACTTGGAGAGCTCTGACTGTCGAGGTCTTGGATACGCACCGTCTCTCACTCAGGGTTAAACCAGGTGACATTCCTCAGAGGGAATGCCGGAGCTCCTGATGGATGGAACAGAAGTTGCTAAGTACTTATCATTTTATTTATCATTTTATGTTATGTGTATGAGTGTTTGCCTGCTTAAAGAAACCAGAAGAGGGTGTCAGAACCTCTGAAACTGGAGTAATAGATAGTTGTCAGCCACCATGTGGGTGCTGGGAACTGAACACAGATACTCTGTAAGTGCAGCCAGTGCTCTTAACCACTAAGCCATCTCTCCAGCCCCCAAGGACTCATCTTAACAAAAATCATATAACCACTAATTATTCATGGAAAGTAAAGTTCTGTAGGTATTTATTATATTTACTGATCTCCTTAGGACCCCTCAGAAATAAATCAAGAATGTCAGGGGGCTGGAGAGATGGCTCAGCAGTTAAGAGCATCCGTTGCTCTTGCAGAAGACCCCAGTTCAGTTTCTGGCACCTACACAGAGTGGCTCACAATGATCTATGGCTCAGGTTCTAGGGGATCTGATGCCCTCCTATGGACTCCATGGGTACTGAGCTCTCATGCGCATACCCACAGACAGAGATACACAGATACACATTATTAAAAATAAAGTAACTCAGGGCTGGAGAGATGGTTAAGAGCACTGACTGTTCTCACAGAGGACTTGGGTTTGATTCCCAGCATCCACATGGTGGCTAACAATGGTCTGTAATTCCAGTTTCAAAGGAATTCAGTACCCTCTTTTGACCTCTGTAGGCACTGCATGACACAGGTGTACTTACACACATGTGGGCAATACACTCATACACATAAAATTAAAAAAGTAAATTAAAAAAATAAAGTAATACTTTTGGGACTGGAGAGCTGGTTCAGCAGTTAAGAGCACTGGCTGTTCTTCCAGAGAACCAGGGTTCAGTTCCCAGTACCTACAAGCAACCATCTGTAACTCCAGTTCCAGAGGATCCCACACCCTCTCTTGGATTCTGTAGGCATCGTATGCACAGACACACCTACATGTATGCAAGCAAAAGACTCATTCACATAAAAATAACCAAAAATATTTAAGTAAAATAAATCTTCTAAAAAATAAAGAATGTCAGAGGTGACATACTCATGAGCTGAGGGTCTGTCATGAGCTTTGCCTTTTGGTGGCACAGAGATGAATGTGGTACTTTCCTAAACCTAAAGGGCTACAAATTCACTTTGTCTGCTTTTAGGTTTTGTTTTTTTATTAGAATTACGAATGCCCAGAAGTAGCCTCCATTTTTAGGTCACTGTTTGCCCTTAGTTAACACAGACATACTAGGTTAGTTGACCCTCACATGAGCCAAATGGCCTTGAACTCTTCTATGGTTTCTCTCTCCATTCCCACTTTCAGGATCCCCCAAAGCTGGTCCTCACTCTGTTTTCTCAGACTCACTTGTCCAAATTCATCCATGCTGCTGGGGGATGGGCCTCACACACAAGGAAGATGCTCTGGAATCATGAGTGATCAGGAGAATTGATACATATCAACTGCCATAAAAATTTTAACCGGGGGCTGGAGAGGTGGCTCAGTGGTTTAGAATGTTTACTGCTCTTTCAGAGGGCACGAGTTCAGTTCCCAGCATTCAATATTGGGCAGCTCATAACTGCCTGGAACTCCAGCTCCAGGGGATCTGATACCTTCTTCTGGCCTCAGAGGTCACCTGCACTTACATGGCATATATTCACGGAGACACACATACATACACATAAATAAAAATAAATCATTTTTTAGCCAGGTGTGGTGGTACGTGCCTTTAATCCAGCACTCAAGAGGCAGAGACAAGCAGATCTCTGTGAATCATGGCCACCCTGTTCCTACACAGAGAGTTCCAGGCCAGCTGGGACTACAGAGAGCCTCTATCTCAAAATAAATCAATAAATAAATAAATCTTTTTTTAAAATGAAAAATATGGACTTGAACAATTGAAGTCAAATAAGTCTACTTTGTTTTAATTCTCTAAATAACTGTTCTAGTTTGTTCTTCATTGCTGTGACAAAATACTCTGACCAATATCAACTTGGGGAGGAAAGGGTTTATTCAGCTTACATCTCTCAGGTCGCAGTTCATCAGGGAGCCCAAGGTAGGAACTCAGGGCAGGAACCTGGAGGCAGGAGCTGGAGACAGGCCATGAAGAACTCTGCTTACTGGCTTGCTCCCCTGGCCCCTGCTCAGCCTGCTTTCTTATGCAACACAGGCCCATCTGCCCAGGGGTGGCACCACCTACAGTGGGCTGGGCCCTCCCACATCACTCATCAAGAAGATGCCCCTCAGACATGGCCACAGGCCAGTCCAATAGACGCAATTCCGCAACTGAGGCTCCCTCAACCCAGGTGTGTCAAGTTGACACTAAAGCTATCCAGCACAATAACAAAATAGCGTATATATGAAGGAAGTTGTTTTCTTGAACTAATAATTTTCTTTATATGAATTAGGTGCTGTAATGACATCACTGTGTGTTGATAAGGTCAATAAATCTAAACCGAATGCTTTGGGCAGCTTATTAAACAAAAGGAAGCAGCAAAACCCACCTAGTGGAAATCTCTTATTTCTGTGATTTCCTTCCCAAGTAAAGACATGACCATTTTCTACTGACTATAACCATCTTTGATTTCTTGATAAATTTAAAATAATCTCTCAGAGTTGCAGTTTCAAGTTTAATTCACTTGAATCTTCTCATATAGAAGCCCTGTGTGACAGCCACACTCCAAGCCTGTGCTGTCTGCAGGAAGACATGATGCACACTCTTTAGAGGGAGACTGGTTAAAGATACCTCTGTCCAGAAGGTCCTGGAAAGGTCACCAAAGGGGACCTTTGGAAAGCTTCCAGGACAGAGGGCAGCCCTGGGTGCATAAAATGGGCTTTGTTGTCCATTCATGTGTGTCTAGGCGTGTGCTTATCCACACACTCAGAAAGCGAAAAAGAACACAGCTAGATCTGCTCAGACCCCAGCAGCACATGGCTTCTAAAACAAGGGAGTGCCTGGGGCAGATTTCTGTTACCAACACAGGATTTTAGGAAAGGGTAGCTTAAGAAAGGACTTGATCACTTAAGGCTATCAATGAATAATGCTGAATGGAGAGACAGAGCTCCCATCAGGAGAAACAGCATTGTGCACAGCCCAGTGACATAGGATGTCAGGGGAGGCAAGGGGTGGGGTCATGGACAGTTAAGTTACAGTTGACCTGGACCCAGGAAAAGAAGTTTGGGCTCAGAGGTGGTCTTAGGCGGCTTTCCGCACTTCCTGACACATGACTCCTAAGAAACTGCAGAACTGAACAACTCTAGAGCTCAGTGATGTGCTTGCCCTGAAAATGTGATGACTCGAGTTCAATCCCCAGCACCCATAAAAAAGGCCAGGCATGGTGGCACACAGTCATAATCCCTGTGCCAGGGAGGTGGAGACAGGCGGATCCCTGGGACCTACCTAGCCTACTTGGCAAGCTCTAGGCCCATGGAAGACCCTGTTTCAAAAAACAATATGTACATCTCCTAAGGAATGACATTCAAGGTTGACCCATGGCTGCCACATATGTGTACATACACCCCCCCACAGACATGGATGCACACAAACACATGCAGACAGGCAGACACCTGCACGCACGTACGCATGCACACACGCACCCACATGCCATTTCCTTTTAACTCCTCCTAGTTATGTCCCCTGACCCACTCTAATATTTCTCTGGGTTTCTTTAGTGAACAGAGACCGACAGGTTATGTTCTGGGATATTCCTGATGATTCCCACTACCTGAGAAGCCCAGAACTCAGAAGAAAATCTGTCAACACTTCGTTTAAATTTCATGCTTGCTATAAGCTTCTTGTAAGAGCCCTTTGTGGGATTAAAAGAGGCTCCTCCTCTTCTTAGTTTGCTGGCCATTTTTATCACCAATGGGTGTTGGATTTTATCAACTACTCTCCCCACATCTATCAAGATGGCCACGTGATTCTCTCCAACACAGATGACACACTTTGATGAATTCTTTTAAATTCAATAAATATTGGAATTCCTACCTATGTAAGTGCTGTACAGAAAATGTAAATATGGGTAAAACATAAACCTGACTAGTGAGAAGTTTATGGTACAGCAGAAATAAAAGAGACAAATGTGGAAAACACAATAATTCAAGACAGACTTGGAGTCCACAGCAGAATGATAAACAGAGAGGTCACTGGACTGGCTTCATTAAGCTGGGGACACAGAGGACACATGATAAAGGTAGCGTTGGATGGAGGCTTCGAAGAAAAACATTTAAGACTTCTGTCTGAGATGTAAGCGGAAAAGCCAGTAGGGTGAGGAAAGACATTCTAGTCAGTAGAAACAGTAAAAACAAAATTAATTGAGTCAGAACATGTCTCAAAAAATGTAGAGGGGCCACTGAGATAACTCGGTAGATAAAGGTACCTGCTGCCAAGCCTGATGAGCTGAGTTCAATCCCTGGTACCCACATGGTGGAAGGAGAGGGGCTGCCTCCTCTAAGTTGTCCTCTGATCTCCACATAGATGCAGTGGTAGACACACGTATACGCACATGCACACAAAATAAATACATTAAAATGCAATACAAAAATTAAAAAATACATGAAGGCAGGAGGCTGAAAATATTGATGGTAAGATCCCCAAGGGGGCCGGGAAGGTTGCAGGCCCGGCCTTATCTGCCTTCATTTTAAAATTAACACCGTGTTGGGCTCTAAGGCCAGTGCTGGACACTGGTATGTCATGTGGTGCCAAGTGCCTGGGTGGGATTGGCAGAAAGAGCCTGAGCTGAGGGAGTACTGTTTTTCTGTTTTCCTGTAAGTCCAGACTCAAGGTCCAGAACAAAAGCCACATTCCACACTGGTCTAAGCCAGGGAAATGGAGAGAGACAGGGAGAATGAGCTTAAGAAAGCAAAAAAGAGTTGGAAGGTGAAGGCAAGAGGGTCAGAAGCTCATGGGGCTGGAGAGACGGCTCAGACGTTAAGAGCACCAGCTGCTGGGTTCCCAGCACCCACATGGCAGCTAACAACTGCCTGTAACTCCAGTTCCAAGGGTTCCGAGCCCCCTTCTGGCCTCCGTGGGCATTGCACACACATGGTGCATTTACATGCATACAGGCAAAACACTCATATACTTCAAAATAAAATTTTTAAAAATAAACAAACAAATAAAAGAATGTGAAACAGATGTTATAATTGGATCTATTGCCTCAGATTGCTGCTACAAATGTCCAAAGTGTAAATTAGCAAACATTTGTCAGGAAATGAACTAGATTACTCTTGGAATGTCCCCCAAAGGACCTTGTGTTAAAGGCTTAGTCCCCAGTGTGGAGCTCTTGGGAGCTCTTGGAAACTTTCGAGAGGTGGAATGCAGCGGAAGAAACATGGGTCTCTGGGACATGCCCTTGAACAGGATGGGGGGATCGTAGAGCCTTCTTTTCTTCTGCATCCTAGCCCAGAGAAATGGTTTTGCCTCCTTCTGCCAATATAATGAGCTGCCTTGCCCAAAAGCAATGGATCCAACTAATCACAGACCTAAATCTCCCAAACTGTGAGCATAAACAAACCCTTTCTCTTGTAAGCTGGTTATTCTAAAGTATTTGTTACAGTAAAGGGAAACTGACTAACACAGATGACAACTTCCTGAGAGGCAGATTCTGTTGAAATTCTATTGAGAAAACATGATTTCCCAACACACCAAATTCAAACTACCTGCAAATCATTTTCTTTTTCTTTTGATTTAATCCAAGTTTTTCCTTGAGTCTGGGGATCAATGAGGAGAGGGTATCTGGTGGCCTTTGTCACAATAATGCCATTCTGAATTGATAGGTCATCTCCAGGTAGTCCTTGCAGCCCCCACTCACCAATCTAAATGAGAAGAAATGAAGTTTTGTCATTCAAAAGAGAAAAGCTTTATATTAATTAGTAATCAAGAGCTGTATAATGTGTAGTGGAAATATAATTTGAACACGTTTTCTCTTTGGGCTCTACAAATGGTATCTAGAAACACACCTGTAAATGTGAGGTAAATAACATTAAGTTTAGAAAACAAATTTAAAGGTCAATTTTTATTATTTGTGTGTGTGTGTGTGTGTGTGCACGCGCGCGTGCACACGCACGCATGCCATGAGTGCAGGTCCTTTGGAGGCCAGAGGAGGGCACTGAATGCTCTGCAGTTGGAGTTACAGGTTGTTGTGAGCTGCAAGATGTGGGTGCTGGGAACTGAACTTGAGTCCTCTACAAGAGCAGCAAGCACTCTTAACTGCTGAGACGTTTCTCTAGTCCCACAAGTCAAGGTATAATCCCATGGCTCCTTATTAATGACATGAGGCTTAGACTGTCCTTTTATGCTATATTTTTTGTATTTAGTAGATGCATCATAAGTTGACTGCATGTTGTACTTGGTTTGGAGTTAGAGACCATGAAAGTAAGATGTCAGAGAAAAAGGTAAGCCCTGAAGGCTACAGTCCTCCTGAGTGTTTGTCCGTCCCAGCCTCTGGTTCTGTCTATAAGGGTCACTGACAGGTGACTGCACAGCTGGAGAGACATCAGCTGAGATGAGATATGCTGGTAGAATTCATCAATGACATGTGTGAATAGTTCCTTCCCCTAATTTAGATGGGCCTTCCAGGCTCCCCCAACATGGTCAATACAATCCCCAGAGAGCCAGTGAACCAATCAGCTTCCATCTCTGCTAAATTACCCTCAGGACTCCCAAAGGTCATAATTAATAAGGACTCTCTTGGTCTACCTTGCATTACAGTACCCAGTGCAACTCCAATACATGATCTATTCCCCGTAAGGATGAATCTGGCTTTGTTTGAATTAAAGACTATCTCTTAACCTTTAAATACAGATGATATGAAATTAACAGCTTTGCATACCCTAAGGAAGCAGCGACACTGGACGGCATTTCTCAAGTCATGAATACAAATTGCATTTATGACCACAGGAGCTTGGCAAGTGACATTAGCATCAGAATTGCAGCAAGTCAGGCATAGTATTACTCATTGGCATCAGAGCATGGTGGGGTGTTATGGTACTTGTGATGGCTAATCTTTTTTTTCTTTTTTTTTTTTTTTTCGGTCTTTTGTGAACAGAGTATTCCTGTAGCCCCAGCTGTCCTGGAACTCACTATGTAGACCAGGCTGTCCTTGAACTCACAGAGATCCGCCTGCCTCTGCTGGGATCAAAGGCATGTACCATCATGCCCAATGTGATGGCTAATCTTGTCAATTTGAGTGGATCTGGAGTCACCTAGGAAACACACTTCTGGGCAAAACTCTGAGGGCCTCTGAGAGGTTCAGCTGAGAAGGGAAGGCCCACCCTGAACGTGGGCAGCACCATGCCATGGGCTAAGCCTGGGACTGAATAGAAAGGATAAAGCAAGCTGAGCACCAGCATTCATCTCTCTCTGCTTCCTGTCTGCTGATGTGACCAGCTGCCTCAGCTCCTGCTGCCGTGCCTTCCCCACCATGATGGACTGAGCTCTCAAACCCTGAGCCAAAATGAATCCTTCCTTCCTTCCTAAAGTTGCTTTTCTAGAGTATTTTGTCACAGCAATGAGTAAAGGAACAAATATACTATCAGACACTAAAAAGATGTTGAGTGGATAAAAGAAGGTCAGCACTCATGACCTAGGCAGTGCCTGGATTCACTTTAAATGTTTGAATGTGAGCCTAACAACAGTAGCACCTAAATAATAGACAGCCATCAGGAGAGCTCACTATAACTCACATTGGCCTTTACTTTAAAGGAGGGTCACTGGCTTTGTTATGTTTATTGTGAGGGAGAGGTTGGTTTGCTTTGCTTTTTTGAGACAAGGTCTTCCTATAACCCCCAGCTGGCCTGGAACTTACTTTGTAGATCAGACTGGCTTCGAACTCAGAGATTCACCTGCTTCTGCCTCTTCAGTGTGTGTGTGGTGTATGTGTGCATGCGTGCATACGTGTGTGTGTGTGTGTGTGTGTGCAATGCCCCAGAGGCCAGAAGAGAGCCTCAGATCTCCTGGAGGTAGAGTTATGGGTGATTGTGAGTCAACCTAGCCAGGTGCTGGGAACCCAACTCAAGTCTTCTGCAACAGCAGCGTGCCATCTATCCAGCCCCTGGTTTTACTTTGAAATAAAGCTTTCCTAAAAAGCAGAGGAACTGAATTCCTGTGCATTTGTTTTTCCCTGGTGAGCATTTTCAAACTCATCTTTTCAATCAAAGGGAAATCAAATTGATATTCCTTGATGTTTTATTATTTGTAAGAAATAGAATGAGGCTTAAATTCAGATATTATGAGGAAAGTCAAACTTACAGTTGGAGGATCCACCAACATGGCAATAAGGTTCAGGTTTTCAGTGAAAGGAATTTTCCGTGCTTTCAACTCTACCTCCCATTGATCTTTCAGCAAATAGTTCCTAAATATCTGATTGAATGGGCCAAGGTAGGAGAGGAAGCCCGTGCAGAGCAGAACGTCACCTACAAGTCTGTGAAGAAAAAAAACACTCAAGCCCACTCCCCAAAATAAGTCGCCTCATACACACTGACCTGGACCAGCCACAGTGCAGGCTTGCTTTTTCACTAGGTCAGATCCTTCTTTGCCCCTGTCAAACACTGACAGACTATGAACAAAGGAACCTCAAACACAAAAGGGGTGAGAGGACCACAGTGGGGAGGGTCAGGGAGAAGAAAGTAGATCCTGCCTGAGGTGCACAACATGCCTTCTTTCCTTGAATACTGTGATCCTGCTCCAACCTGTCTTTAGCCTAAACTATTTTTTCTTCCTCCCCCCCCCTTTTCTATTTTCCTACCCCTCTCTCATCTCCCTCACTCTAATTCTGAAGACCCCTGGAGACATTAGTACAAGAAATCTTTGCATTTGAACAAGCCTTTGATCCACACTTTGTGTGTGTGTGTGTGTATGTGTGTGTGTGTGTGTGTGTGTGTGTGTGTGTGTGTGTGTGTACATGCATGTTTGTGTGTGGGAACGAGAGATTGATATCAGATATCATCCCTCAGGTCCCATTCTTCTTGTTCTTTTTGAGACTCACCGGTAGCCCACAATGTGTGTAGGAACCAGAGGTTGATATCAGGTATCATTCCTCAGGTGCCATTCATCTTGTTCTTTTTGAGACTGACCTGGAGCTCACCAAATAGTCTAGGCTGTCTGGCCAGAGAGCCACAAGGACCCACCTGTCTCTCCACCTCCCCAGCTCTGGGATTACAGATACGCCTGCCGTTTATAAGGCAAGTCAAGCCCTTCACTGACGGAGCCTTCTCCCCAGCCCAATCTACACTATCAAAATCACTGAGGGCAAGCACAGAGGATGGAGAAAAATATCAGACAGTCCTGGCAAACTTGGACACCACCAGATGCTCCCTCATGCCGGAAACCCAGCCTGCAGAGCCACGTGGAAGGCCCCTCACTATTTTAGCATGTGATTTTCAGTACTTGGGGGTTCAGAGAAGTGTGGCTGGATGTGGGTTTCATGGTCTCTCATGCAGCAGAGGGGGATTAGAAGTGACAACATTCATACCTATTAATCTGAGCTTTGAATTCTTTACTTTGCTGGGTCCATCGGACTTTTTCTCCACTCAGCCCATCAATGAGCACGGAGGCTGCCTGCATCTTCTTCCGACACATGTCAGCATCATTGAGCAGGTCCTGCACTCGGAAACAAGGAACTTCTCAGACAAGATTTTAAAGCACTTGAGCAAGCATTTGTTATGTTTTCATAATGAGTTATCTTTCTTATACAGCCCAGACCCACCTTCCTAGGAATGGCACCATCCACAGTGGGCTGGGCCTCCTGTATAAATCAGCAATTAAGAAAATACCTCACAGACATGGCCACAGGCCACACCAGTGGAGGAAATTTCTCAGTTGAGGTCCTCTCTTTCCAGGTGACTAGTTTGTGTCAAACTGACAAAAACTAACCAGCACAGTAGCCCATATTTTTATATTCTGGGGCTGGAGAGAGGGTTCAGCAGTTAAGAGCACTGGCTGCTCTTGCAGAGGACCAGGTTCAATTCCCAGCACCCACATGGCAGCTCACAACCATCCATAACTCTAGTTCTAGGTGACCCAATGCCCTCTTCTGGTCTCTGTTGAGTATTACACACATACAGTGCATTTACACAAACACAGGCAAAACACTCATGCTCATAAAATAAAAATAATCTAAAAATAAAACTAAAACAAAATGTTTTTATGTTCTTATGTATAAGCTTAAAATGTTTATTTTAAATTAAAAATCAGTTCACATAAAGTTTCAGTCCAGGACTTGGATCATCTCACCATTTTTTCATTCATTGCGGCATCAAATTTTGCTTGCACTTTGTCCAGCTCGGCTTGTTTCTCATCCAGCAGGGCTTGGGCCTTCCCTAACTCGGCATTGGCAGTGGCTAATCGGCCTTCCTGCTTGGCCAGATTTGCCTGAGAGAGAAGGGGTGGTGGCTTGCATGGAGTCACACTAGCTCTATGAAACATTTATGCTTCCAGTCAGTAAATTATAACATAAATCACATAATTTTTGCAGAGGGCGCTCTATTTGAGGCCATCTGTTTCAGTGTTTGCAACTGGAAAAGCAGACAGTCTGGGGGATATTTTATTAATTTTTTTCCTCATTAATTATTAATGTTCAATAGAGAAAGCGTGGAAAACTGCAACAGTGCAGAGCAAGAAGAAAAATATGTACCCTTGATTTTTCTTCTTAACCATAACCTGTAAGTACTGTGTTGAGAAGTTGACAAATGGCATTTTTATTCTTTTTATTTAATAAATCTAACCATTTTCCCACATCCTTAAAATTGTTTATGAGCTGGTGATATGATTATACTCTATCACCTGACTGCACCATTATTTATTAGCATTTTCCTACTATCCTGTGCCACTTGACACCACGGTGAAGAGGAACCTCGATTTAAGGATTTCCTCCATCTGATTGGCCTCCATCGAATGCGACCATGTCTGTGAGGCATTTTCTGGATTGCTAATTCACACAGGTGATCCCAGCCCACTGTGGGTGATGCCATCCTGAGGCAGGTGATCCTGGGCTGTGTAAGAAAGACTGTGACCGGGAAAGAAGCCAGTAAGCAGTGTTCCTCCACGGTCTCGGCTTCAGTTCCTGTCTCTAGGTTTCTTCTCAGTGATAGACTGTGACCTGCAGGCCAAATAAACCCTTTCCTCCCCAAGTTGCTTCTGGTCCTGGGTTTTTTCTCATCACAGCAATAGACTGCAAACTAGGACATCTAATTTTATCTATTTCTTCCTCTCTCCCATTTTTAAGTCTTATAATACTGTGTAAATATTACTGGATATGCCAGCATTTTGGTTTATTTCTTTGGTAAAGATTCTTTTGAAATGAAATTACTATAACTGCAGTTTTTCAGAGACCTACAACATGGTAATTATCCATTTCTTATAAATCTAAAATAATTAATCACTAATGCCTACCCAGAGCTTTCTGGGGTAGAAATCCTTTGATAAGTGTCTCATTTTCTTTCTCAGTATTTGAGTTATTATACTTTAGGCTCCTCCCCCTGAAAACATTCAGTTCATTTAGATTTCCCAGTGGATTTACACAGAACAGCATAAAATTTGTTCTTTAATTATTTAAACCTACACAGCGATGTTCCATGGCTTTATCATTCTGTACTCATTTGTTTCTGTATATTTTTTTCCTTGATTAGATTTCCTGGAACAAATCCCTTTACACTTTGTTTTTGTAAAGCGTCAGTTCTTAGATTTACTTATTAATTCCACTGCTTTCATCTTTTCTGATTTTTAATATTATTTTTTATTAGCTCTGTCTTATTTTCCTTAAATTTCGCATGTATGTGTGCTTGCAACTGTGTACAAACTTTAGATCTTGAACTCGGGTAAAAAAAAAAAATAAGGCACAACTGTAATGCCAACACTGTGTAGGACTGTTTAGTTTCTCTGACTGATTTAAGGCTGAGAATGTACTATTTTGGACATGTGACACTAGCTTAGGAACTAGCTTTCTTCCATCATTCCTTAAACAGAAGTGGATGACTTTTACTAACGCAAACTTACTTTGTTGCTTATAATTGGAGAAAGAGGCCCCAGGAATTTTTGCATTAGAAAACTCAGTCAAGGTGGGGTCTTTTTTCATTAGTTTCTATAAATGCTTCCCAAATGTAAGACATGAATTCATATTTATTTATATTAAAGAAAGCTCAGTGTAGGTAGCGAATCTTAAAAGTAATATTGTGGGATGGGTGGCTGGAGAGATGGCTCAGCAGTTAAAAGCACATACTGCTCTTGCAGAGGACCCAAGTTCAGTTCCCAGCACCCATGTCGGGCAGCTCACAACTGCCTAGAACTCCAGCTCCCGGTAATCCAATGCCCTCATCTGGCCTCCATGGGCACCTGTACTCATGTGCACATACCTACAAACACACACACACACACACACACACACACACTAATTAAAATGAAATCAATATTTTTAAAGCGACAAGATAAAAGTAATATTGTGTGAAATTTCCATGCATCTATTGATTTATGTCCGAGGAAATGCCTTTATAGTTTGCAGGGTGCAGTGGAAGTAAGATCATAGGGTCCCCACGTAAAAGATAATGAAGAAATTCAAGAGGGTGGAAGAGAGCAATGGCAAGTCTGCATCCTTGTAAACATGGCCTTGAGCATACAAGGCCAACTCTATCCCCAACTCCCAGCCTATCAAGGGCTGAGAGCCAGTGTCACAGCCTTGAGCCACCAGGTTATTTTTGGTAGTTCATACTTAAGACACAAATCGATGATGTTTTATGGAATTCAATACTATTTTCTTTCATAAAGCATTATTATAACTAGGTCTTCATTGTGGATCATTTTTATCTATAAAAAACTCTTTCCTCTCATGTGCCTTTCCCCTTAACTACTATACTTAGAGTAACGGTTTTCATTTGGTAACTTGTGGTTTTATCTGTATTTGCTGCTTCCCCATCATTTCCTTTTGCTAAAAACCTTATTTTATTTTCCATTTTATTCAAAATTATGTATGCAGAGCTTAAAGAGGTTGTTCTAGTTACATTTCTGTTGCTCTGATAAAACACTCCGGCCAAAAGCAACTTGGGGAAGAAAAGGTTTATTTCATCTTCCAGGTCACAATCTTTCCTTAAGTGAAGTTAGGGCAGGGCCTCAAGGTCAGAGCCTGAAGTCAGAGCAGAAACCACGGAGGAAACCCACTTACTGGCTTGCTGTCCTACTCATGCTCAGCTAGCTTCTTATACAGCCCAGGTCCACCTGCCTAGGGATGGATGGTGCTGCCCACAGTGGGCCTCTCACATCAACCATCAATCAAGACACCCTCTCACAGACATGCCCATGGACCAATCTGATATGGGAAATTCCTCAGTTGAGGTTCCCTCTTCCCGGGTAACTCTAAGTTTTGTCAAGTAGACAATAAAAACTAACCAGCACAGAGGCAGACACCTCTTTAAGGTTTATTATGAAAAATGGTGATGCTCTGCCCACCTACCCATTTTTCATTCCACAGAAAGACCATTTACAACTAACTCTTTCAGCTTTGTGGGAGGTACTGGGGTCAATTTTGGGCCCCGGGGATATGGTGGTATATTTTATTAATCCTTGAATTCCTGAGTGTCTTTTGCTCCCTCAGATGTGAAAGACAGCCTGACTGGTATAGATGGATATGTAGGGGGTGAGAGGTTGGTGGGGGCATTGCCCAATACTTAGGTGCATCATAAAGAATATCTGTCTGTTTTCACTACATGAAGAGAGGCTTTGCCTAGTATCCTTCTTTTTATGTGTATGAGTGTATTGCTTGCATGTATGTAAGTGCACCTGTGCCGTGCAATGCTGCGGAGGTCAGAAGAGGGCTTCAGATTCCCCTGGAAATGGAGTTCGTAGCTGCCATGTGGGTGCTAGGAATCGAGCCCGGGTTCTCTGCAAGAGCAGTTAGTGCTCTTAATTGCTGAGCCATCTCTCCAGCCCCTAGTATTGAGTTCTTGAACCACAACTTCCTTCTCAAAACCCTGGGTTTCCCCACTATCTTCCAGAATTTCAGGTCATAAGAAATTTAAGACATTCTGGTTTCTCTCCTTTTGCCATTTGTGTATGAGTGTGTATGTTTGTACATGTTTTTAGATATGTGTGGGTGTTCATACATGTGTGTGTGTGTGATTTTGTGTGTATGTGTGTGTGATCAACCTCAGGCATGATTTCTCAGGAGTTGTCCATCTTGTTTTTTGAGACAGGATCTCACACTCCTTACCTGGAACTGGATGATTCAGCTAGGCTGGCTGGTCCGGGAGCCCCAGGGATCTGCCGCCACCTCCCCAGTGCTGGGATTACAATTGTGCCCTGTTTTAGTTTGCTTGTTGTCTTTTTTTAACATGAGTTCTGGGGCTTGAACTCTGGTTAAGGGCACATACTACTCTTGCAAACACCTTACCTACTGAGTCATCTCCTGAGCCCCTGATTTCTTTCCTTTTATAAGAAATCTGTTAAGTGTTGATTGTCATTTTTCTCAGGCTACACATCAGGCCATCAGTCTGTGGCTGGAAGCTAAGATATTTCTAGGTGTTAATCCTAACTTTTGTAAGTTTAGTTTAGAATGCAGTTAGCAGGCAGTCTCCAAACAAATCTCTGAACTTTTAAAGAAATGCCAAGTCTTCCTTTATGACAGTTTGATTATTAGTCTGTACAAATTAATCTCCTATTTAAGTTAACAAGTTGGTTTGGGTAATAAACATTGCCAAGAAGTACACACCAGACACTTTTTAAAGAGAGAAATTGGGAACATAAGAGAAAAAAAGTTGGTTACAGAAGCATTAGCCTGTTTCATTCTAAACCACACTCTGTCTGCCAGCAGCAGGAATTCTTATTTTTTTAAGTATTTCTTTAAAAAAAAAAACTTAAGAAAAAAGATTTAAGAAATATGTGTATGTGGCTGTGTGTATGTACCTGCATGTGAGTGTGGGTGCCTGTGGAAGCCAGAGAGGGCCTCAGATACCTTGGAGATGGATTACATTCAATTGTGAATCATCTGGTTTGGTGTTAGGAAACAAACTCAGGTCCTCTGCAAGAGCACTATGTGCCCTTAACCATTGAGCCATCTCTCCATCCCCCAGCTATAGGCTCTCCCTGTAGCCCCAAACTGGCCTGACGCTCGCTATGGAGACCAGGTTGGCCTCGATTTCACAGACGTCCACCTCTGCCTTCTGAGTGCTTGGATTAAAGGCATGTGCCACCATACCCAGCCCAGCAATAATTCTTATGATTGACTTTACCAAACACCAATTTACTGGGAAGAGGGAAATTTACCTTCAGAGGCAACACTTCCCTACTGATGCCATAAAATGTTGCCATAGCAACTGTCCAGGACAGCAGGCCGGCCACATTCCCACATACTTTTTTGGCACTTTCAAAAGTATAATCCTCCATATTAAAATACGGCTGCAGTAACTCAATGGTCTCCTCATTGATAGTGTCTTTGGGGAACTGCTGCAGGCTCCACAGGAATCCTGTTGCACTCATCAGCTGGAAGACGACATTGCAACCTTTTAGGTCAGGGAGAAAAGAAATCCTGCCTTCCTGAGTTGATATGGACTTAACTTTGTCCAAGAAATAAAAGTGACCTTGCTCTAAACACATCAATCAAAATTACAGCCTATAGACAGCCCAGATCTGTAGGTTACAAATTGTCTTCTAATTTCCTGGTGAAAAAAGAAGAAAAGCTATATTCCTGTCTAGTTAAGTGTGTCTAAATGCCACCAACCTTACAGAACTTCCCTTCTGAAGACAGGGCTGGGCTGTACTAATTAACTATGCTAATGCAAGAAACCAGTTCCAGACACATTTCATAAAAAGAAGGCTTTGAGCTTCAAAATCTATTCCTACACACACTTGGGGTGATATAGTGCTCTCATGTGAATCCTTAATGTCCCTCAAAGGCTGATCTGTCAAAGGCTTGGTTCCCTAGCCATGGTGCTATTGGGAATTGGTAAAACCTGTAGGAGGTGGGGCTTGCAGGAGGAAGTCAGGTCATGGGGACAGGCCTTTGAAAGATATTTTAATTACTGTCTTCTTGCTGTGACAAAATGCTTGAGGAAAGCATTTTAAGAGAACAAAGGGTTTATTTTGGCTCATGATTCAAGAGTATAAAGTCCATCATGGTGGAGAAGTCTTGGTGGCAGGCTCCATGGCTGCAAGTGTGTGTACGGATGGGCTTCCACACCTCCAAACAGGAAGCAGGCTCAAAGCCTGGCCCCCAGTGACCTACTCCTTTCAGCAAGGTTCCACCTACTGAAGTCTCTGCGACCTTTCAAAACAGCACCACTGGCTTGACAGGAACATTCAAACACATAAATCTATGGGGGGACATTTCACACTCAAGCCATAACAAAAGGGATATTAGGACCCTGGTGTCTCCTCTTCCTCTCGCCTCACTTCCTAGCTGCTGGAGGTAAGCAGTTTCCTTTATCACATGCTCCCACCATAAGGCTCTTCCTGTGTGGGTCAGAGATACATGATGCATCTCACAGGACTTATAAAGACAGATTTCCCTCACCTTTAGTGACTCTCCCCAAGATGGTTTGCAGCAAGGCTTTTCAGGGTCCATGGCGACAGGGTCAATTTTCTTTTGGAACAGCAACAGCACACAGTCCATGATTCTCATAATCAGATGCGGTGGCTTTGCCAGCTTCCTAACCGTGGCGATGTCATTTGGTTTGATGGTCTGTATTGGGGATGAGGAATCAATATAATTTTTTTTTTTGCTAAGTGGTATTAATAGACTTACATATGGCAATGTACTATTTTTAAGTAATTGAGATAGAAAACATTTCAAATATATTTCACCCCCCAATTCCTGATGTTATCTCAAAGTATCCACAATTTTTGCACAATGGCTCTTCCGTTATTAAGTTCAGATTTCTGCTTGGTTGTAATCCCTGTTCTTTCTGTCACTCCTCCAATTGACTGACTTATTATATCACTGCCCAAGGACTTTCTTTTCCCCTTAGAGATAAGAGCTATGCAATTTGGGAGTCTGATATCACTGCCCAAGGACTTTCTTTTCCCCTTAGAGATAGAGCTATGCAATTTGGGAGTCTTTTAGATAGACCCACTGAAGGGGTACTCTAATTGCCTCACCCTGCGTCCCTGTTCAGCATGGAAGAAGCCAGAGCGGTCTGCCTCCTTATTCCCTGTTGGCAATTTGGGTAACTTCTTCAGAGGATGGTGTGATAAGAATAGGAGGTAGGAATTGGCTAGGAAGTTAGGGTAAAAAGACTCCAAAGAAATGTAGCCAATTTCTTGGCTAAAAGTCAAAATATCCTTAGCAACATACTCTGTTCCAAAGGCCAAAAATGTCAAAAGTATTTGGGAGCTCTTATATAATCCCTAAAAGATTTTAGGGTTACCTCTTCAGAGGGGGGAATGTTGGAGTAGCCAAAAGCCCCATAAAAATAAATAAATGGAAGAAGAAAAAAAGAAAAGAAAATGAAAAAAGTGATGAGAGATATGGGAGGTGTTGGAGGGGAGGGAGGTGGGTGTGGATTTGATCAAAACACCTTATTTGCATGTATGAAATTCTCAATAAAGTTTCTGTAAAAGTCAAAAAAAAAAAAAAAAAAAGATATCACTACCATTTATTGGCCACCGCCCAGACCTCTGCTAATGACCAAATTGGTATGTAACATTTAGATAGCTTGCATCTTCAAAGCACGGACTTCATTAAGTATGGATATTAAGAGAGGATGCTGGGGAGACGGCTCATTTGGTAAAGGCTCGCCACACAATGTGAGGACCCAAGTTTGGATCCCCAGGACCAACATAAATGTTGGGCGCAGTGCTATGAAACCTGGGCCAGGCCGGGCTTGTGCTGGGCGGGTGAAAAGCAGCTGCTCACCTTCAGGGCGGCCTCTGCTTCTTCCAGGGCGGGTTTGGCGGCCTCCAGTTTGGTCTCTGCTTTTACTTTCTCACTGTCGATTTCATCCACGATTTTCTGGGCTTTGTCTTTCATTTCTTGGACTTCATTCTTCACTTTGGCTGAAGCCTGGGCACTCACTGTGACTTCCGCCAGAACCTAGTTTAGTCGATAAAGAAATCAAACAGAAGGTTTTAAGCAAAATGTACAGAGAAAATGTTTATTCAGTACAGTACAAAACAAGAAAATAAGAACAAGTTTCTTCTCCATCTAAGTAGCTTAAACTTCAAGGTATATTAAAATACTTCCTTTGAGACAAATAATGACACAGGACATGAAGTGGGCGAGGGCACGTACCAAGGTGGGGTGGAAATGAGGGAGGGGAGGGGGCCTAAGTATGATCAAAATACATTGTACAAAATTCTTGAATCAGGGGCTGGAGAGATGGGTCAGCGGTTAAGAGTACCAGTTGCTCTCTTCCAGAGGACCCAGGTTTGGTTCCCAGCACCCACATGGAGCAGCTCACGGCTATCTGTAACTCTCTGACACCCTCTTCTGGCCTCTATGGGCACTGCACTCACATGCGATACACAGACACAGACATCCTCCTCATTCTCTTCTTCCTCGTCCCCTTCCTCTTTTTCAACATCATCCTCCTCTTCCTCATCCTCCACTGCCTCTTTTCTTCTCTCCCCCTTCCTTTCCTTCCTCAGCAAAAAATTTGATGAGACTTAACCCATCTTAGAAAACTAGAATAGTCAAGGATCTTAGGGACAAGACTAAAGATAACTCACAACTAAGGAGAAAGTTCTCAGACAGATGAATAAGAGCAAGAACTTGAGACAGAGAGATAAAGAGAGAGGAGGAGAGAGACAGAGAGAGGAAGTGAGAGTGAGAAAGAGACAGAGACACAGAGAGAGGCAGAGAGAGGAGAGAGAGGGAGAGAGAATAGTTAATGGCCTTCCCAGACTTTTTTTGTAGGTTCATGTCCTGTTTGTTTTTAATAGTTTTAAATATAGAAAAATATTCCTTTACAGTAGTGACACAGTGCACACAAACTCACCTCATCTGCTTTTACAGAAGCCACAGCCATTTCCTTCTCCTTTACTGCAAGATCCTGAGAGAGCTTAGCAACGGATTCACTAGCCTCCATCAGCTTATTGAGACCTTTAGAAACACAGACACACTCTTGTTGAGTATAGGCACAGCCCTCCATCAAGTATGTATTCAATATTCACGATGTACGAGGCACTGTGCATGTGAGATACATACCAAACACAGCATGATTACAGACAAAAATGTACCTGTCTTGGAACAACAATACTGACTACATTTGTTAGTTTTGAAGGAGGGGGGGTAATTTCAGCAGGAGAAATAGTTCTGCTTGAGGACTGTGATTTATTGGATTCCCCTGAAGAAAAGAAAGAGGTAGGGAAGGAGGGAGAGAGAGAGAGAGGGAGCTGAGAGGGGAGGGAAGGAAAGAGCTGGGAGGGGTAGGAAGGGAAGACAAGGGGAGAGAGAGGGGAAGGGAAAGGAAGGGAGGGGAGAGGAGAGAAACACCAAAATAACATCAAAATTTAGTTATTTGGAGCCTGGAGAGATGGTTCATTGTACTGTTCTTGCAGAGAGTCCAAGGTCAGTTCCCAGCACCCACATCAGGTGGTTCACAGCTGCTTGTAACTCCACCACCAGGGTATCTGACACCCTCTTTTGGCTTCTGCAGGCACTGCACACACATGAACACACACATCACACACACACACACACACACACAATTTAAAAAGTAAAATAAATCTAAAAATATAAGTCCTTGGTCTTCAAACACAATAATATCCACCCTATAAAAAGTTGAGCTCGCTATCAAACAAACCTAAGAGATGACAAGCCTGGCCATTCTTCTTACCAGTATTCATCCGTTCCGCTTGCTCATTGATATACTTCACCTTTTCAGTGTAGATGTTTTTGTAACCGTTTATAAATGAGAGATATGACTTGGGAGTCACGTGGGCTCTTCGGCAGTACCTGAGAGTGAAGCATAAAAATTGTCTCTGTGGTTCTGCTATCACGTGTTACTGCGGACTCCTCTTACTGAGAAAGCACCATGTCCCAAGTAAGGGGCCGCAGCGGCATTTGGGAGCCCAGAGGAGAGTAGGCTAACATCTCTGTCTGTCGCTTGGTCCCCAAGGAGTCCTTGACCTGACTCTTACCCCACACTGGTCATGTGTTTCCACATATGGCAAACTGAGGGCAGGATGTCACATGACCACTCTTAGGGTTCTGCAAACATTAAGTAGCTTACATGAACATACTCTGGTCGACTGGAAGTTTCTGAATCAATAAGGATAGTGGGACTTATGTGAACTCGTGCTGCAACTCATTTTCATTCAACTGGTCACTGCAGCTGGGTGAGTTTATGAAAGCCAGCACTGGTCTCTCCCCCAGCTCAATGAATTAGTCTTGAAGTCCAGACAGCCACCCTGGACTCAAGGGTTCAACTCCTTCTGGGCTTTATTACAGTGATCATATTAACATCAGAAATAAACAAAGGGGGTCATTCATATCAAAGAAACTCAAGCTTAAGTCTACAGTCAAGAATCTTCTTAGAATGGAAATGTTATTCTTGGATTAATTGCCCACCTTTGGAGAGCTGAGTATTTTCATCATTTAAAAGTTTCTTTGGGGACTGGAGAGATGGCTCAGCCATTAAGAGTTCTGACTGTTCTTGCAGAGGACCTGGGTTCAATTCCCAGTACCCACATGGTAGCTAACAACCATCCCTAACTCCAGTTACAGGGGATCCAAAGCCGCCTTCTGACCTCCACAGGCATTGCACCACAACACAGATACACGTACACACATGCAGTTATAACACTCATACACATAATAATTTTTTTAAAGTTTCTTTGGTTGTCTGGTTTGGTTTGCATTTTGCTTTGTTTTGGTTTTTTAAGGCTTGATTACACAGGTGACTATTATTAGAATGCTATATAAAACATTTAGAATAAACTTCAATTTAGTAGAACAAAAAAAATTGGAAATATGTACCAACATTTTAAAAATAAAAACATTTCTGTGCCTGTATGAAAATAAAAAGAAATCTTTATAGATGGAATCAGGAGAAACTAAATCTTCCTAACTGTGAGGATCCATACCCACTGGCTTTCCAGAGTCTGGGGGAATATCTAGAATTAGCTAAAAATCCAAAGTATTAGCTAGACTCTATACACAGAAAAATAGGCATAGCTTTTTTAGAAGGTTCTGTAACCTACAAAACCCCTTTGTTAACCCTAAGGGTGGAGATCACTGTTCTGGAGGGCCAGGTGGAGTTTCCTTTAGTCCCAACTGTCAATCTTACACAGCAGCTATCGCGCACTGAAGAGGGGGAGAGACCCTGTCGTTTTTGAACCATTGAGGCCAGTTTGCATAGAAAGAGCACCCCACAGCTGCTCTTAGTCAGTGGTTTTCCTACATCCAATTAAAGTTCTGTTTCACAATTATTTGCCATAAAACCTCCAATAGGACTTGATTATGTAAATGTCAACCTTAAATGTTCCCTTAACATAAGACAATAAAGAAACTTAAAAGCCGTATACTTCTTTAATCAAAATAAATAATGCATT